ACTTTGTACTAGCAGGCTTCCCCTGGGACCTGAGGACATAAAAATGGAAGGGATGTGAACTTGTAGATTGTGACCAGATGAATCAACAAGGCAAGCCGGCTCCGAGAGGACCTGCTGACATGGAAAGAGAAGAGTCCCTATGGTCAAGTGTTTGTTTACATAAGGGCTGGGAAATTGGGGTCCTTTTTTAACTTCAGACACTGGCAAGTCCAGACAGCTGTTTGTTTTATTAAGCAATGTTCACTGACAAGGGACCCGAATAAAGTGGAACCAGCTCTTTAGGGTCTCAGCCCTGGCTGCGGAGCTGAATCACCTGGGGTCCGAACCCGAGCTGACTGCACCAGGTTCTCTGAGTTTTTTTCCCCCAAGCTCCAGAAGTGATATTAATGCTCACACACAGCTCTTTGCAGACTGCTGCCCAGGTGGTTATGAATTCGAGAAGTGGCATCGGACGTCAAGGGACTTTTCGATGTGCCTCACATCCTTCCTCTGCCCGCCTTTCCCAGCCGGGCTTCTACCCCAGTGGCAGGCTACAAGGTAGTCCCGGTGCTGTCAAGCATCCCAATTTTCCCCTCCCCACTTCATCAGTTCTGGACCAGCGTGTCAGGGCCCAAGCAGCAGGTGTGGTGCAAACCACGGGGGGGGGGGGGGGGGGAGGAGAGTGAGTCATGTGTGGGTCACACACTTAGTCACGTGGGGGAACTGGGAGAAGGGCGGCCGGCCCCCTCCCTCAGGATGTCGTGGGGGCGGGTTCAGGGATGTGTCAACCAAATGAAGAGTTTTGTCAGAGCTTCTTAGAAAAGTAAATGGATCTTTGCTCCTTTCATTTCCTCTTCCCGCTCTCAGTGGCTGTAAAACTGCCAGAAGGACCTGAAGTCCGGAAAAAGAGGCTCCAAGTTCAGTTTTTTGTTGGAAAATGCACAGCGGTACAGTAAGAATCTGATACAATATAATAGTCTCTAGAAGAATGCACGTATATGCACAATTTTACGTATGATTTCAGGGAAGGTAGGGCGGGGCAGCTACCCCACTCCAGGTGGGAGGCAAGGTTACTAACCCCTGCGCTGGGGTCCCTGGGTTCCAGACCTTGAGGGAGCCTCGTTTATCAGATGCTGGAAGGAGACGGGCAGGACCTGGACAGCTCTGCCCGGATTGCCTACTGCCGTCTTGCAGACAAGAACAGAATAAGCTGGGCGCCTGGGTGGCTCAGTTGGTTAAGCGACTGCCTTCGCCTCAGGTCATGGTCCCGGGGTCCTGGGATCGAGTCCCACATCGGGCTCCCGGCTCGGCGGGGAGCCTGCTTCTCCCTCTGACCCTCTCCCCTCTCATGCTGTTTCTCTCTCTCTTTCTCAAATAAATAAATAAAATCTTTAAAAAAAAAAAAAAAAGAACAGAATAAGCTGCCCTTTACCTGCACGTGGTGGGGATTTTTATTCTTACTTACATGTATTCATACAGAGGTTTTCGAACTTGAGGGAACATGATAATCTCCTGGAGGTCTTGTTAAAACACACATTGCCGGGACTCACCTCAGATTTTCTGACTCCGTAGGTCTGAGATGGGGCCAGATAATTTGCATTTCTAATACGTTCGCAGGTGTTGCTGAAAGCTGCCGGTCTGGGGCCCACACTTGGAGAACCACTTATACAATTATTTTACTTCTGTTCATCAGCCCAGGCGCGGGTAGGAAGCTGGGTTTGAGTCCGAGTTCATGGTTTAACCTCATCATTGCCAGGATATATCTTCTACTGAAAGCCTCCATCAGCGCTTGGCTCCGTTTGAACTCAGCTTTCTTTTTTATGTTTCCATTTTTTACATTACCACGATAATGAGCTATTTGGCAGCCTGTTGGAGCTTTGCAAAGTTCCTGGGGGAACAAGAGTATCTCCAGCTTGCACAGAACATTCCACCTTCAGAGTGCCTGAAGAACCCAGAGCCTTCCGGCGTTCTTAGCCCGGACTGTGAGTTCTCTTGTTCTTTACATTGAACTTAGCTGTCCACATGTGAAGGCAAATACTAGAGTGTTTGAGAAGCCAGCTGGGGTCCCGCTCACCTTTGTGTGAAAACTCCTTCATAATTAAGGGCACCACATGCTGACGGGGGGGCGGACACTGGGGAGCACGTTGCCTTGCCAGGCAGACAAGCAAACTGTCACTGTCAAGTGGAATGCTGAGGAGGCTTCCTCTGGCTGGACGTGGTGAACAGGGTCCTGAGGCACAGTGAGACAGGACTAGATGGCATTCCAATGCCGGGCTGATGTTCTAAGGCAGTGAAACTCAAACTTTCCTGCACCGCACACGTGAATCACCTGCGGTGATAATGGTTCATCATCCCCATTAGGCTGGGAACCCCGGTGACATGGAGACTTTTAATTGGAGTATCGTTGACGTACAATGTTATATTAGTTTCAGGTGTATAACACAGTGATTCCACAGTTCTATACATTACTCAGTGCTCACCACAATAAGTGTAGACAGCCACTGGGCTAGGTGGTTTATTACCTGGAACAAATTTTTTTTTTTAATTTAAGTACAGTTGACACACAATATTTTATTATTTCAGGTATACAACTTAGTGACTGGACAAGTTTATACATCACACTATGTTCACCACAGGTGTAGCTACCGTTTGTGCTCTCACCTCATTATTATAGTATCATTGACTGTATTCCTTATTCTGTGCCTTTTATTCCCATGACTTACTCATTCTCCAACTGGAAGCCTGGATCTCCCTCCCCCTGCACCTAGTTTGCCCAAACCCCCACCCTCATCCCCTCTGGCAACAAAAGTTTGTTCTCTGTATTTATAGATCTGATTCTGCTTTTCTTTCATTCATTCATTTGCTATTGTTTTTTAGATTCTACTTATGAGTGGAATCATGTTGTCTTTTTCTGTCTTAGTTCACTTAGCATAATACTCTCTAACATCATCCATGTTGTCTCAAATGGCACAATCTCATCCTTTTTTATGGCTGCATAATGTTCCATTGTGAGCACATGCGTCCGTGTGTGTGTGCATGTGTGTGACATTTTCCTTATCCATTCATCTATAGATGGACACTTAGGTTGCTTCCATATCTTGGCTATCGTAAATAATGCTGCAATAAAATAGGGGAGCATACATCTTCTTGAATTAGTGTTTCTTTTTCTTTGGATAAATAACCAATAGTGGAGTTACTGGATCATATGGTAGGTGGAGGACCAAGGACTGAGCTCTGGGGTGCTCCAACAGAGGAGGAGCGACCAGCAAAAGGTGGTGGTCATTAGGGAGTGGCCACGAGGAAGGAGAAAAACAAAGAGATGGCAGCATCCTCGAAGCCAATGGAAGAAACTTGAACAAGGAAGAGGGAGTGATAAACTGTGCCAAAGCTGCAAGATCCAATGTGAAAAGACTGAGAACCCAGAATTAAGTCTGAATTTAGCAAGATGGAAGCCATGGCTGACCCTGAGAAGAAGGCTGCTGGGGGTGGAACGATGGACGAAAGTCTGTTTAGAGCAGTTTAAAGAGAAAGGAATGAGAGCAATTCATGGGCTGAGTATAGATTACCCTTTTAAGATGGCTTCCTGCACAAGACGGCAGAGAAGAAAGAGGTATCTGGCAGAGGCGGGGTGTCAAAGGGAAGTTTTGTTCTTGTCTGTTTGAAGATGGGGAAGATCCAAGAGAGAAGAACAGATGCTGCCGAAGAGAGAGGGGTGGAGAGCCAGAGGGAGGTCCTGGATGTGTTCTTGTACCCATGAGAAGGGACTGGCTTCGGCCAGGAGCATGGATGGTCTGCCTGTAGCAGCCAAGAAGGCAGAGTGTGTGGGTGCAGATGCTAGGCAGTGGAAGGAGGCTGTGGAAATTCTGTTCAGCTGGCTTCAACTTTCTCAGTGAAGGAGGGAGCATCAGCTTGGAGGGAGGGAGGCTTGCCATAGGGAGGAGAAGGCCATGTGAAGATAGAGAAGAGAGAGATTGGAAGATGCTGACCTTGAAGACTGGAGGGAAATGGCCCCAACCCGGCAATGCCAGAAGCTCTAGAAGCAGGAAGAAGCAAGGAGTGGGTTCTCGCCCAGAGCCTCCAGAGGGAGCACAGCCCTGCCCACACCTTGACTTCAGCCCACTGAGTTTGGACTTCTGGCCTCTAGAACTGTGAGAGCATAAACTTCTCTGTTAAGCCACTAAGTTTGCGGTAATTTGTTACAGTAGCCACAGGAAGCTAATTCAGGACTAAAGGAGAACTGATGACCAGAAGATCGTCTGCTCTGCTCACTACTGTGGGCCCACCACCCAGCCCAACGCCTGATCAATACGTGCAGAATGAATGAATGCGCAGACAGCCAAGCCCAGTGGCTACCACACCACTGTGCCTACGCTAGTCTGCTCCCAGCCCAGAAGGGGTGAGGAGCCCCTGGGTCTACATGCTTTAGCTATGGCTCCCCAAAGACGTTCCAAGAGAGGGATATGGTCTGTTGGTCTCTAGTCCCTGGATCAATGACCCAGAGAGACTCAACTTAGCCAAGTACCCACTAGGTTCAATTAACAGAGAAATGAAACCACATCGTACAAAAGACTGTGATCTTGTGGATGGGGGCAGGGGGCAGTTTCTTTCCATGGAAAGCAACGTCAGACAGCCCAGTGCCCTCTACAAAGAGCGCCACTTCTGAGATCCGTACCACAGCCTAGCTTCAGTCCTCAGTCTATTTAGGGGGTGCACACTATTACCCAGTCCTCAGGCAGGCTGGAGACTGAAACAGGGAAGTTGCTCAAAGGCACGTAAAGGTCAGTGACAGAACTCGAACCCAGGGCTGCCAGACATCAAGAGGCTGTGTCTCTAATCACCACGCTCACTTGCCCTCATCCTCTGGCTCCAGGTGGGAAGGAGACCCTCCTCATGGCCACCTGTGGTCTCCTCTCTACTTTAGGTTTGCTCTGTAAGGTGCTCCTTACACAGCCAGACACGGACAACTTACAACGTTCTCAGCAACAGTTTAGGAATATCTGAATAAGAGGAAATAGGCCAAGTGTTCTTCTTTTCTTTATTAATGAGTTGAGATACACAAAGACTTAATAAAAAGTTACATAAAAGGCTCAAGCATCATCGAGACCCTCAGGCATCACTCCCGTTTCACAACGGCCATCTGTTAATACTGGATAGCAGAAGCTGTGCGCTCACGGGCGCTCAACAATTCAAGTATCTTTCATTCTATGTAAACCCAACGTGGAGTTTCTAACCCAATGGGCTGATTAATGGAGGGAATCTGTCTGTGGTTCCAGATTTACCGTCACACGTCTCAGGGGCCTTTGGGTCAGAGCTGCCATGTGTTAGTGGGTCATGTCTCCTAGGAAAGTGAGATTGGCCACACTAGGCCACCAGGCACTCTCCACAGCAAACAACACAAGGTGGGGTCAAAGTCCTAAGAGAAACCATCCAAGTGCCCCGTGTGGCCAAGTATAGGAGAAGTCAGTGGCCAGAGCCCCCAGCTGGAGGGGTGGGGAAGATGGCTAAGATTGCCTGTTGGGTAGAAAAGTAGCCCTCTAATTGGGGGGGTGTCAAAATTTTGGGAGAAAATTTGAGAGCACATAGTGGCAAAGGCATGGGGTGAGGGGATTTCAGGAAGGGTGTGTTCCAGGGAATGTGAAGGTAGCACTATTCAGGTGGTCTGGAAAACCAGTGGAAACACCAAAATGTCACCAAAGACACAAGTGCCATTGGACTCCTCAGTCATGGAGTAGTGTGGCCAACTGGTGTTCCAACTGACCCTGCCACGTGGCCATGGAGAAGCTACTGTACTGGGATGCCCCAGGGTCCACTCCATTCTGGCCTATCTGGAAGCCCCCACTGCTACAAGGGCCCACAGTTCCCTAAAACACAAAGAACTGTCTTTGAAAAATGTTATCCATCTGTCTCACCTCTGGGGAACACAAGGTCATGGAAGATGAAGCCTGACCCCTGACTCAGCAGCAGCCGGCCTTTCCTTAACCAGTTTGTCCCTCGAGCACTGTGGAGCTGAGGTGCGGGCTGACTGCAGGACTGTGCCCTGGAAGATGCGGCCGGGGTGGGCAGAAGCACTGCCCGTGTTGGGGGAGGGGCCAGAAGCAGATGGAACCCGTGTGTCTGGTTACCTTTATGGCTAAGGGCTTCATTCTAGGTCAGCTTATCTGCCTCCAACAGGACTCCCCACTCAGGGCTGCCAAGGAGTTGTGGGCTCTGCAGAGGGCAGGGGGCCGGGGTGTGCTGGTGCTGGTCCGTGCCCAGTAGCAGCTTTCCAGCAGTGGCCGCTGCCCTGGGTGCTCGGCTTCCCTTCCCACCCCACCACTCCTTCGCTGCAAAGCCTCTCCCTCCGTACTTCTTCCTGCTTGTCTTGCTACTGCCTCCTCCTCTCCTTTGCACACGGGGCTGCAGTAGACTCGGCTCAGAGGAGCAGAAGTGTCCGAAAGAGCCTTGTCCTGTTAGTGTTTAAAACGCCCATTAACATTATAGGACCTTGGGACACTCTGAAGTGCCTGATCTTTGTTATCTTTCCTTTCAGGGTCAGGGAAAAAAAGGCCATTGAGACAAATAAAGAAGTTTGATTTTCCAATTAACTGAAGTCCCAATGATTTCATTCGACACAGAATCGCTCTTCGGCTGGGCCCCCTGGTGCTGGTGATCTTGCTGAGTTAGGAACGCAGCACGCTTTCAAAACCAGAGAAGATGCCAGGTGTCTCCAGGTCCCGTGGGGTGTTCACTTTCTCAGGGTTTCTGTCTCTAAAGAGTAGCCAGGCCACCTGCTAGGGATGCTCTGGTTTGCCTAGTGATCTGATTTGTCAGTGGAAAATGAGGTCACGAGCTCGTCTTCTGACCTTCTGCTGGAGGGGTAGGCACTGTGGTCGTGGCTGCCCTCCCTGGGGTCCACCCGCTGTGGTCCACCCTCCCTGGCTGGGGAAAAGCCAGTCTCTGGATCCCACCAGCAGCACCTGAGAAGGAAGTGACATCTTCAGGAAGTTGGGGGAGTGTCCCCTTATAGGAACAGGTATGGGGGCCATGTCATCACCCCAACCTTTCTTTTTCCTTTAATTATATGTTATGGTTAAGATCCAAGAGGCTAAGAAAAGTGTGTGCCAGAAAGGCAAGCGAATCCTAAGTTTGCAAATGCTTAGCGGGGTCTGCTTATTTACTGGGCTTTAAGAAGTGGTAGTCAGTGGACTCAAAGGGAAAATGGCTTCAGGTCTTGGTGCTGTCTTAGTAACGACAGTATTGGATGGTTTTTGGTTAAGATTCAGCATGAACTAGAGCTTTCTGGATGGCGTCCACATTAGCTTACTGGGCCGAGCTGAGACATACATGCCCACGTCCGCGTGTTTGTGTCCAAGAGGCGCGAGGCAGCACAGACGGTGGGAAAGCAGGAAGAGACAGATCCGGCAGAGCCCTGAGAGCACAGAACTCAATCTGCACTGTCGGCCAAGTGAACGGACGCTTTTGCAAAGCCAGTCAGCTGACCTAACTCATGCATGTCCAGGATCATGAAAACCCTTCTGAAAACAGACATGCTCGCCCCAGCCTCTCCGCTCAGCAAAATAAAACTCCGTTTCCTAACACCTGCACCCTCGGGCACAGTAAAACCTTCTGGGTGAGGGCATCTCTCTTCTGTCTGGTCTGGAGGCTGGGAGGGGGCTGTTCCTCCCGCGGCCTCCGGCCACCGTCCTCATTCACGTCTGCGCTCTCGGTCCCTCCACTTGCATGTTGAGCTGAGTTTTGGCACCGCTGGGGAAACTCAGTCACAAACAACAACAACAACAACAGTATTCCAGACATGTTCTCAGAGAGGCCTGCTGAAGCCCTGAAGCTCCGCCAGTCCGTGGGCACAGACCCCCTTAATAAAATAATAATCACTAAAATAATTTAAAAATCTACAAAAGCCCCCCAGGCTCAGACACTCTGGGCTGGGGGCAAGGGCGTGGGGGGTGGATCATGGCTTGTTCGGTACTCTGTCTGTGGACACACACTTCCACATCACACTAATACTGTGTACTTCAAAGAAACAACACAGCCACCGAGAGAGATGGGGAGGAACCGGGTTGAGTCAACGTGAGGGGCTTGGATGCTGCTTCTGTTTAGCGTTGCTTCCCTGTCTCTCTCGAGACATGGGAAAGCCTGTGCCCTTGTGGCAAAGCCGGAGCCTCGCTCCTCCCTGCCCATCCTCCCTTCCTTCCTTCCTGAGCCAGGTCCTTGGGCCGAGGGTCGTGGTTAGAAATGGTTTTCAGCGCGGTTAGGCAGTGGAGGGCCCCGAGGGCCAGCCAGTTCGCGGTCACCGTGGCCAGGGCCTCAGGCCCGTCACAATATCACGCACTGCAGTTTGTGGGTGCCGGTGGCCCGGTCGCCCCGCCATTTGGTTTTCTTCTTCTTCTTCTGGCTCTTTTCTGGAATCTGTTGCCTTTTGAGACAGGGAAAGGCAGAAAAACAAAGTCAGAACGGGCTTTGCTTCTCCCTGCCCCTCTCCTCCCGGGGCCCTGGGTGTGCAGGCGGCAGGCCTGTTCTGGACGCTGGGGGAGGGCCTGGCCTGGCCAGTTGTCTCTGGGACAGAGAGAGCAGGAAGGCAGGGAGGGCAGGGCAAAGCCTGTTGCCCTGCTGGGGAGAATTCCTGACATCACACTGTGGCTGTAGTTCTTTAAATCGTGAACTACATTATGTGTTCTTCAGTACTGGCCTCTATTTTTGTGTTTCATATTTTAAATAAAATGACAAGCCCATTGAGTCCAAAAGTTTTTTGCATGCTTTCTGTTAACTATTCCTATGTCTAAAGCCTGCCCTGGAACTACAGGTCCATAGCCCAGATACCACCAGCTCCTGGCAGGGCCATGTACCCCAACGGGAGGCCAAATGCCCACGAGAAGACCTTTCCACGAGTGCAGAGCCACCAGCTATGGCGTAAAGGGGGGGCTGCACTACCACAGTGCACGCCGGGGACTGATGAGGAAAGGGCTGTGTGTGTGTGTGTGTGTGTGTGTCCTGGGGCGCCGACAGGCAGCAGGGGGAAAGCACTTTGCCAGGGCCCTGCCCGTGAGTTCACGACTAACTGACAGCCGTAGAGCTCTGCAGCACATGGCCTCACACTAAGGGCCTGATATTTGAGGACCGCGGGTTAGGCTGTTCCGCACGGTGCAGACTTTGGAAATGGGCACATGGGTGACAGGGGAGCAGCCGGGAGGCTGTGGCAGCCCTCTAAGCACGAGGCGGTTCGGGCTGGGACCCTGACTGTAAAGGAACGCGGCGAGACCGCTGACGAGGCTTTCCGACCACACCTGGAGCCTGGCAGGGTGTGCGGTCTGCAAAGCGGGTGCGTGTGCAACGCCCCAGCAACTTGAGCTGAGGAATCAGAACGGTGGTGGCTCAGGTAAACTGTCACGGGGCGCTCTGACCTCGGGGCGGTGGAGAGGACATGGACCTACTTCCTATGGTGTTGACAGGTGTGGTGTTGGGAGAACACGGAAGGCAGGTGGAGGCTGTGGAGCCGAGAGGAGAGAGGAGGCCGGAGAGGAGGCTGAGCTATAGTACCCCAGGCAGGAAGGCCCCTCCCTTTAGCTCTGGGCTTTCCCCACAGGTAGGAGGAGTGAGGGGGTGTGTGCAAAGGAAGATGGGAAGGGCGGGGAAAAGAAATGGGTGGAGGGATAAGAAATACAAAACAGGCCCAGAAGTGCACGGCCCCGGCCTTGGAACAAGAAGCCACGTCCCTCCAGTCCTCCCGGCGACCCACCTTGCTGCAGAGGGCTTGCTTCTGGGGGAGCGTGCAATGCTCACCTAATTACCCTAACCAGGTCATGGAAGGCTTTGTCGACGTTGAGAGGTGGGTCCTTGGCACTGGTTTCTATGTACGGAATCTGGAAGGCAAAGCTCAACTTGGTAAAAGTAGCACTGAGGTCCACAAAGCCCCGTTCCCTAAAGCTGCAGATTGTCAGGGGTCCCAAGGAACCACCTGCCTTCAGAGACCCCCACAGAACCCTGGCGCCAACAACCTCAAGCCCCTTGGTGGCGTCTTGCTCCTTAAGGGTGGAAAATTTTGACAGCTTGTCTAATTCCCTTTTATTCTCTAGTCATAGAGATCTTTAATAGCCCCCTAAAAATAGAGGGAAAAAAAAGATCTTTTTACATACTTGAAGACTAAAGACTGTTTCATTTATCAAACTAAAATAGGTTCTGATGCTATTCTTTTTTCTTTCTGAGGCCTATTTCTCCACCGTGAGGGGACTTCTGCCTCTTCCCGGGCGCTCCAGAGCAGACTCTGGTGGGAGAGGCTGAAGCGAGGCTGGGCCATGGGCAGAACGCTGCAGCCCCGTGACCTCTAGCCGGTCTGTGCCTCCTTGCCCCCAACAGGCTTGCCGGGCTCAGCTCTTGTTTGGTCTGCATCTACAAGTCCGGGAGCTCGGCCACGTTCACAGAGGGCTTGTGCCTGCACGTCTGACCCTGAGGAATCATCACCCCAGCTGAAGGACAGCAGCTCACCGGCAGATATGGCTCAGGTGGCCCCCCAGAGGACAGGTGTTGAGGGCCGTGTCCACCCCAAGTCTCGGGCTGGCACAGGGAGGAGGACAAAGGTTGCATGAGGTCAGGACGCAGTTCTGAGCACACCTCTCCTCCTGAGTCAGGGACCCCGCACAGGCGGGAAGGCTTTGTGTGCACTCCCGCTTGAATGGAGAGAGTGTGGGGTTTGTGCAAAATATACAGGCTTCCCCAGGCCAGAGAGGGAGGCCGACTGTGGTCAGACTGAAGAACTCGGGTGTATTTCATTACTTTTCCCTGGTTACAAAATTAAGACATTTCATTATAACACTTTCAAAAAAGAAAAGCCCAGTGAAGAAAATAAAAATGACCAGCAGTTCAAATGCATGGGTCGGGGCGGGGGGTTGTGTGACAAGGTGAGCTGTTACTTTAGAGGAGAATGTTGTAGGCGACTGCCCAGGACACATCCTAAAGGACCGTTGCACATCGCTGTGGCCACAGGCAGAGGTCTTGAGGGTGGCTAGAGGCAAAGGGCAGAGCACACGAAGCAAGGCTGAGACTTTTCAAATAGTCATGAACCAATCTTCGAGGCTCTGATAAACTGAAAGACCACTGCCCTCCACTGTAGGCTGTTTTACTGAGACGCCTCTGGGCCCTTCGCCTGCCAGGTCTCAGCAGCCCTGAGCTCACTTACTCCCCACCTTCACCCTCGGAGGTAAGCAAGTATCTCCACTGTGCCTCGGGGGGACACTGTGAGCTCAGAGTGGTGATGTGCTCGCCCAGAGCCACACCGCAGCTGGCAGAGAATCAAGGGTTGAAGCAGGTGCCTGTTCCATTCCCTGCCTGGCCGCCCATGGACAGCTAGGGGTGCCGAGGTCAGCTTCAGGGCCCCTCCCAGGCACGGAGGGCACCCCTGCTAGGGCCTAGAAGCCAGAGTCCTGTGATACCCTGTGAGGCCAGGGCAACGTGCTTCCTTTCGCACACCCAGAGCAGGGGCAGGCAGCTGCCTGTAGCTGGGGCTGGGACCCACCGGGAGCCCCTTCACAGGCCGTGGCCCTGTCGGCTCAGCAGGGGCACGGTTCCAGGGGCCTGAGACAGCCACTGGTGCCGCCCCACCCACCACTCAGAAGTACAGGAGTTGTAGTGACCCCCAGGTCCTTGGGTGCCCTCGGCCTTCTTTCTGGGGGTCCTGCCTCCACCCCTGAAGAAAGGCTGGGGTGCATTATCTGGGTTCTTGGAATCCTAGGATTTCAGTAGCAAGGAGACTTAAACTAAAGGGAACGCTGCACTAAATGGTAGCACCGTCTGACTCCACCACAGGGCTAGGAAATGCCATCTTCCGGCGCCGGGTGGGGCGCCCGCCTTGGCAGCTAAAGAGGAACTTGCCTTATGAGCTCTAAAATAGCATGTTGTCGATAGTAGCTCGCAGAATCGCTTGGTCAAATGGTAAATGAGGTAGTGGCATTTGCTGCAGGAGAAACGCGGCGGAGAGACTGGAGGCCCAGGTTGCAGCGGCGGGGGCCGGGCAGGCTCCGCTCTCCACCCCCCCCACCCCCCCACCCCCGCCCACTGCCTGGAAGGGACGAGCAGAGGTGTTATGAGAGGCCTGAGGGAGCCTGACACTGGGAAACGGAGCCGGCTTCTCAGGCCTGTCTCTGTTCAGAACCCAGCGGTGAGTTTCCAGCTCTCCTCTGGAGACTGTGGGGCAGCTCTGTCCTGGTGGATCACTCCTCCTCCTTGAGGCATGTTCTTCACTTGGCATCCACGACGCCCTACTCTGGCCCTCATGCGTCACCCACAGCTTAGGCCCTTTTGTGGTTTCCTCCTCACCTCCCCGCATCACTAGGTCAAGTGTCCGGCCTCAGTCCTGGGACCCCTGCCCTATCTACACCTGCTCCCTTGGCGTTTATGGCTTCACATGCCATCCACACTCTGTCGCTGCCAATACTTGCCCCAGATGCTGTATCTGACTGCCGCCTTGGCATTTCCATCTGATTATCCACTCAGCTCCTCAGCCTCCACAGATCTGCAACCAAGCGCCTGTCTCGCACACACTTCCTCCGATTGTCTCTCCTGCCCAGTTACCGACACTCTGGTCTTCTGAAAGTTGCTCACGCCCAAACCACAGAATCACCCGCCACACCTTCTTTCTCTCACACCCCACATCCAATCTGTGCACATATCCTGTTGGCTTTCTTAGAAACACGTCCAGAATCCAACTACCTCCTTGCCACCTTCACCACACCACTCTGGGCCGTGCTGACCTGCATCTGGGTTATCCAGCAGCCCCTAACTGGTTTCCCTGCTCCCACGACTGGCCTATATGGGGCCCTTCTCAACATGGCCCCCGGAGAGAAGCTGTGCAGCCATAAGCCAGACCTCGTCATCACTCCTCACTCATAGCCGTCCAATGGTTTCCCCCCTCCCTCTGAGCAAAAGCCCATAAAGTTTAAAGCCCTTCTCTGACCTGGCCTCCTGCTCCCCACCCCTCCCACTTCAGTTCCAGCTGACCTCCTTGCTGATCCTCAAACTCCTGCCTTAGGGCCTTTACACTGATTATTCCCGCAGCTGGAACATTCTTTCCCCAGAGATCTGCAGGGCTTCCTCCTCAGCTCCTATGAGTCCTTGCTGAAATGCACCCTCCCTAGCAAGGCTTTCCCTGACCACCCTATTTGGAAAAGCATCCTCCTCCACCTTACATTCCTGACCCCCTTCCCTGATTTACTTTTTTCCATAGCACATGTCACACTGTAATTGGGGGACACTGTAATTTGCTTGGTTTATTATCTGTCTCCTGTCATTAGAGTTTTATTTCCCAGGGCCTAGGGCAGTTACACAAACATGTGAATGGACGCAGAAGGCAGAGACAAGCATAAGTAACTTGCAGTGAGCCCCCTTCCTCTACTCACAGAGCTGGGCCCACCGGGCAGAGGGAAGGGGCAGCCTTGCAGCAGACCTCCCAGCAGGCAGAGTGGACTTCTACATAACTGACCCATGAGGCCAGGGGCCTGGGCTGTGCTTGTGCGGGGGAGGGGTGGGAAGAAGCCCGGTGACCCCACCCAGCACTTCCAGAGGGCAAAGGGGCATCACAATGAACTGAAAAAAAGAAAACAAAGATGTCCACTGATATTCACTGTGCGGCCTGGGCAAACCTCAGTCTGACCAACTGTAAGATGGGCATCATGATACCTACCTCAGCATGTGGTGGTAAGGAGTGATCGTTCCCCAGCACAAGGCCTGGCATAGAACAGGGCTCGGTGAACTGCCGCTGGTCCGATGATTCTGAGCATAATCAGGCGGCTGGCTCAGAGAACTCGATAGAAGCCAGCCCTCTGCACAGCCCAGCGATGAATCTGCTGTGTTGGGGGCCAGGAGGTGGCCTGAACACCAAGCTCGCAGGCCACTGTGAAGGGACCTGGTCCCCCCATCAGAGCTCCTCATGACCGATAAGAGGGTGTTTTCTCTCAAGTCTGCTGTTTTGTTTCACAACATAGCCCTCATCACATACGCCCTGCCAGGCCTCTCTGCGGGACCTAACCCACTACCCAGGAGGCCCAAGGTCCCGCAGGAGTGATGGCCACGGCCTCCTACACATCCCTGACTGCCCAGCACATACACACACACGTGCACACACGCACACGCACGCCACCTACATTGTGTTTGGTCGCCATTTCTTTTCCTTGCTCCCTGGTGATTTTCCTCAAATGCATCAGATCGACCTTGTTGGCCACGAGGATCATCGGAAAGGACTCTCTGGGGAATAAAGGAATAGCAGCTCATGAAATTTCACTGCCCCCACGCCTGCTGAAGGCAACACAGCCACACCTCAGGCATAAGGCAGCCCACGCTGCCTCCCCAGTGGGCCTGGGGCTGACTCCTGAGTCCCTTTCCCTCCACGTCTCCAGGCAGGGGAAGGGGGCCCCAGGACTGTGTCTTGGTTTGGAGGTTTAGGCTTATTGCAGAGAGAGCAAAGAGGTCCCCCCTGCCCCCCCCGGGAAACCCCTGGCTCAGCACCATCAGAGAGGGCTCCCAAGAGGCTGCTGGGCAGGGGCTGGCTTCCTGGACCTGCTCCCTCCCATCTCCCTCCCATGCAGGGCTGCTGTGGGCCATCAGCAGGGGCTGGGAAAGAGCCCCAGGGCCCGTGTCTGGTATAGGGCTGGCACTCAGTAAATGGCAGCTGCAAAAGCAGGATGGCTCCCAGGAGAGGAAGGGTGGGATCACAAGACACGTCTGCCTTAAAGAGTCCCATCAACGCATGTGGCCATATTGCTGTCCAAAGGTGAAAGAAATGCCAGTCTTATAGCATCTTTAACATCACTGGGCATTGTCATCTAAAAAATTCATAATTTAACAGGTGAAAAATAATACTTTATTATTTTCCCTTGCACTTGGGTTAGCCAAAGGTCGAATATTTTCCTACTTCAGAGTCATTTATGTTTTCTCTTTTGAAATTCCTATAGTCAGGGGCTTAACTTGTATTTACGGCTCTGAGTTTTATGTATATATGTGAGTGTGTGTGAGTGTGAATCCCTTTGCCTGTAAAGGGATTGTAAAATTATTAACACTTTGCCATTGGAACAGGTGTTAACTGGATTTTTCTGAATTTACTGAGATTTGTTCAAAGCTTGCTGTTTTCTTAATTTGTCCTTTTACTCTCCTATGTGGCCTCTTTAAGAGCGCATTAACTGAAAAGACCAGTTAGGCTTAAAAGAAACTACAAATTATTTAAATAATTACTCCATATAATGCTAAGGAAAAAAAATGAGCCTTTGATTAGGGGCTTGTAAATCTCACAAATGTGATGTAACCACTTCCAACGCATACCGGAGAGGAAATTCACTTTTTTTTTAACGTGATAAAATTTGGTTAAATTGGGGCCATCAGTGGGGACTGGTTAGGAGAGATGGGAGGGGGCTGACTTAAGGCCCTGGAAGCAGTTTGGCCCTGCGGAAAGAACTGGGGTAGGAGGCGGAGGGACCAATGTGTGAATTCAGCTCTGCCCCTCTGTGTTTCAGCTTTCACCTGAGACTCTGAGAGACAGACAGACAGACAGAGGCCGCTCTGAGCCAGGAGCTAGGACGTCCTGGCCCAGCTGCCCTTACCTGTCCTTGACGCGCAGGATGAGCTGGTGGAAGCGGTCCACGTGCTCGAAGCTGGCCTTGTCCGTGACTGAGTAGACGATGAGGAAGCCGTCCCCCGTGCGCATATACTGCTCCCGCATGGCGCTGAACTCCTCCTGCCCGGCTGTGTCCAGAACTGGGGTGGGATGAGGCCACTCAGGGGCTGTCACCACCCATTGTGGAGCTCCCATGGCCTGCAGACCCCCATGCTGCTTCTGCTGGCCCCCCGGTGGCTCCAGCCAAGCTGGCCCCAAGAGGCTGCATGACTTTCCAGACCCAGCAGGGCCTCAGACCCTTCCAAGTGTGAGGCCCGAACAGACTCATTTGTGGACCTGCTGATTCCAACCTACTTGCCCCCTGGGACTTACCTGTCTACAGAAAAGCCTCATAAAGCCAGTGATCAGCTCTGCCACAAAATCCCTCTGGGACCCCCACACCCGGGCTTGGATCCCTGCTGGTCCTTACAAACTGATTCCCAGGAAGTTACCTGACTCTCTGAGCCCCTTTTCCTCCTATATAAGATAGAAACAATGCCTCTACCTTGCAGCCTCTAGGGAGGAGAGCCCCAGGACATGCACTGGGAAAGCCCTGAAAAGGCTGGTCAGGTAGGGTCCTCAGTCCCTGTGCGGACAGATAGCAGGCAGGCTGCGCAGGGAAGGAGAGGCCTCTGAGAGCCAGGATCACTTGGCCCTAGGATGGGGCTATCACGGGGTGGTAGGAAGAGCTGGGGAGAAAGAGGGGGGAACCATCTCAGCAAAGGCTCTCTTCCCAACACATCCATCCCCCTCTCCCTCCCTCCACCCCTGGACTCCGGAAGCCCACACCCCTTCAGCTTCCTTCCTGCTGAGATAAAATCCTCCCCCCAGGCTGTTTCAGAGTGGCCACAGCCACTGCTGGGGGCTCTCCTTTGAGATGCACAGGCCTGACCCCCTCAGGCCTGCTAAAGCCCCGAAGCATCCTGCAAACCCCTGCTCACCATCCAGCCTTTCCCATTTCCTAGCTCACTCCACTCTCTGACAGACCCATTTTTCTTCTCCCTGGAGGCAGTGGAGCTAATGGCTATAGATTTTGGAGCCAGATTCTGGGCTGAGTCTGGTTCTTCATTCCTAGAGTATGATCCTGGGCAAGCTCACTTCTCTGTGCCCTTATTTCCACGATGAGAATCCTAAGGGTTGTTTTAAGTTAAAATACTAAGACCCAGGGCACCTGGATGGCCCTAGTCAGTTAAGCATCTGCCTTTGGCTCAGGTCATGGTCCCAGGGTCCTGGGATCAAGTCCCGCATCAGGCTCCTTGCTCAGCGGGGAGTCTGCTTCTCCCTCTCCCTCTCCCTGCCACTCTGCCTCCCTCCCCCTGCTTGTGCTCTCTCTCTCTCTCTGTCAAATAAATAAATAAAATCTTTAAAAACAATACTAAGACCCTTGGAGCAGTGCCTGATACAAAGAAGCCCTATAGGAGGGTCTGGTGCGAGCTTGTTCACCTTACCTGGGGTGCTCTCTCCACCTCTAGGCCATCCCCCAACCACCCCTGCTCTCCTGCTCCCCTTACCTTGGCCAGCTGACTCTGACTCATTGCATTCTGCTGCCTGAGCTCCCGGGGACTCTCCCCACCCCTGTACAAACCCTTTATGGCACATTGTCCTTCCTGCGCATTTAAGAGGCCCCCAGTTGGACTGTCAGCTCCAGAGGTAGGAACTGGTCTGCTTGGAACCTGGCACAACAGAACTCAAATAGTAGCTGAATGAATAAATGAATGTAAAGCCTACCCAATTTTGTTCATTCATTCATTCACTGAAGAAATATGTGAGAGCCTACTATGTGCCAGGCAGTGTTCTAGGCACTATAGATCCAGAGTGAATGAGACAAAATCCTTTCTCTACTGGGCCTCACAATCTAGTAGGAAGATTGGCGAACAAATGAATGAGTAATATAATTTCTGGTGGAGACAAGTATATACTGTGAAGAACAATATAGCCAGCTGAAGCTTATTGGTGGAAGTTGGTGTCACGTTGGGTAAGGACCAAGGGCAACTAAATAAATCCCACCAGCAAAACAGATGAAAATGTCACAGATCTGGCTGAAGGGATGGGAAGGTGAATAGAACAGCAGAAGACATTCAGGTGATATGTAATTAATGGATTCACAGATTTTGAAGGTGTGTATTGTCCAAAACAAAAACTAGAGATCTAGGATATGTGAAAATATGATGGTTCAGAATTTTAAAAACCCAGTTCAATGGGGAGCTGAAAGTCAAAATGGACCCTCTGGAAAGGAAAAATGGTTACTTCACACACTGATTGCCTTAAAAATAATATCACCCATGCTTTCTAAAAGAATTCTTGGAGGAAATACTTCAGCAGAGTGAAAAATAGATCCATGAAAGAAAAAGATGAGTGGTATTATAAACAATGATAAACAAAGAAGACAGCCAAACCTAAGTTAAGTTTAAATAAATGTCGTTACACAATTTAAAGAAAACGAATGGCAATTTAGAACTAAAATCTATGATGATCCATATGTGAGGGTAGGGGCTGGGAAAAAGTAAGTTACTACTAAATTTCTCGCCTCATTTGGGAAGAGGCTAAAGATAATAATTACATCCAGATGTTGATAGAAAAAATAGAATTATACACACACAAACACATGTATGTATATAGAATAACCACTAGAAATAAAACTCAAAAGTTCCTAGTCATCAGAGGGGGAAAAAAAAAACAACAGAACAAAGTAAACGGGACCAATCCAACAAAAGGCAAAAACAAACTACACGAAAATCAGAAGGCTAAAAAAGGAAACATGCAAGAAGATGGCAGATGTAAATCTAACTATGACTAACAGCAGTAAAGGCAAACGGGTTAAATCTACCCATTAAAGCAGACACCCAATATAAAATCCATTTGTCTGCTACTACAAAAGACACATATAAAACAAAATGACACAGAAAGAATGAAACGTGAAAGGGTAAAAAAGGATATGTCAGCCACATGCATCCACAAAATAGGATTCAAGGCCAATGCATTGAACAGGACAAACCAATGTATTTATAATGGGAAAAAGTACAAGCATCAAGAAGTGCCAAAGTCATGAATCATAAGCATATAAGAATGTTTTCTAAAATACACATGTATAAAAACCTGATTTTTAAACACAATAGGTATAGACAAATCCCATAATCACTGTGAGAGAACTTGAACAGGCCTCTCTTAGAGAGACAGAACAATTGGCCCCCTGAAAAGTAATGATCCAAATAATGCAATTTTAAAACTTAATCTGAGAGGGGTGCTTGGCTGGCTCAGTTGGAAGAGCATGCGACTCTTGATCTCAGGGTTGTGAGTTTGAGCCCCATGTTGGGTGTAGAAATTACTTAAAAAAAAAAAAACAACACAACTTAATCTGAGAGAACAAACTTTACACTCAAACAGTAAATAAGCATTTTCAAACACACATGAAATCGTCACAAAAATTGGCCACATATTAGGTCATAAATAAAAATTTCAACAAATTCCGGAAAGCCGATGTCACATGGGCTATGTTTTGCTTATACGCAGTAAGATCAGAAATTAACAGCAACATGAATATAAAAACTATCCACTTGGAAGTTTAAAAAGCTATACTGCTCTATAATGCTCTAGTTAAAGAGAAAAGCAAAGCAGAAATTACAAACAATTTAGAACTGAACAACAATGAACAATAATAAAACCTCTGGTTTGAGGCCAAAGTGGTACTCAGAGGAAAATTACAGCTTTAAATACACTTCCAAAAACCAGAGAGACTGAAAATTATCTAGGCATTTAAATTAAGGGGCTAGGAAAGGAAAAATAAAACCAAAGAAAGAAGAAATTGTCAATGAAAGTAGAAATTAAGAAAATGAGAGGAAAGAAAAGTAGTAGATATCTAAAAATCAAAAGCTGACTTTTGAAAGGACCAATTAAAAAACAAAAAAGCCTTTAGCAATTCTTACCAGCGACAAAAGAGAAAAAAGACTAATAAGCCTTTGGAATGAGGAAAGGCCTATGACTATGGATCTAGACATATATTTAATTCTGAGAGAAAACTATATGCAGTTTCATAGCAAAAAAATTTCAATTCTGGATGAAATGGATAATTTAAGAAAATATAAATAAACAAAATTGGCTCAAGAAAATATATAAAACCTGAATAGGCCAATGATTATCGATGAAATTGAAGAGACAAATCTCCCCCATGAATGGCACAAAGCTCTTTTTATTATCTATCTATAAACTGCTCCAGAGCCTGGAAAATAAAGGAACTTTCCAGCTCACTGTAACAGCCTAAGCATACTCCTAGTAACAAAGCGGACGGGGTGGCATGTGGTTGTGGGCTAACAGCCAGGCCTGCCCCACCTTCTGGGGACAGGAGCAGCCTGCGTGTGGGACCCAAAGAGGAGCATTCAGTCATCCATTTGCCAACCCTCTTCTAAACACATACTCAGTGCCCACCACTCTGCTTGGTACTTGGGGTAGTTAAAGAATAAGCTGCATCTCGCTATCAAGGTACTTAGAGGCTAGCTGGGCTGGTACTTAAAGAAAAATAACACCACAGGACAGAAAGTGATACATACTTTGGGAAAATCTAGGTCAGGCGGGGAGGTCCCTTCAGCTTGGAGGGGATAATGCAAGGGTTTAGCCAAGAGGGGATATTGATCCTGCCCTTTAAAGAAAAGCATTTGACATAAAAAAGATAGGGTCTGGGGAAGGCCTTCCAGGCAGAGAAACAGCATGAGCAAGGGCCTGGAGGCTGGGAAGAAAAGGGGGTCGGTGTGCTGGCATAAAAGTTCTGTGATGGGGGAGCAGGTGGGAGAGAGGAGACAGGGAGACTAGAGGCTGGGCCTCTTGGATCCTGAACTAAAATCTTTGAACTTAGTGGGTGCTGGGGATCTACCAAAGGTTCAGAGAGGGAAGAGATGCAGTCAGAGGGGGGTGAGTGTGGCAGCCGGAGAGGGAAGGGCCTGGAGGGGGAGGCTGTGAGGAGGTGGAGGAGGGGCCAGGGCAGAGGCAACCAGGGCATCAGTGAAGGCAGATGGGCCTGAGAGGCAGAGGAAACAGTGAATGGGTAGACACGGAGGACATAGGACACCGGGAATGGGGGCCAAGGGGAGAGAGGAGAGTGGAGGGCGCT